TCTCTACCACTTTCGTTAAATATTAATAAAAAACGTCCAACCTTACCAAACCTCAGAACTGTCTAATATAAGGATAACTTGTAAAAGACACCTTTATTTTAGCAATATTTAAAGAATTATATCCATCTCTATAAAACTAGCTAAATATTTTTTCTACAAGAATTCTTTCCTTGAAATTTCCTATACAAATATATAACCATTATACCCTTTTTTAGGTTAGTGGTCTAAGTGGTTTTTTTTTTCGATTACCTGTGAACCACCGACTAGCAAAATTGGAGGACACCTAAATGGAGAAGACATATACCTTAATCTTGTGTGACGACTGTTAATTTTATTATATGTTAAATATAATACTATATAACAAAGTTATATAGAAATCCTTAATTCCATTCAAAATTTAACATTCTTGATTTCAATCCACAAGGAAAAGTTAATTTCCTGTAGTCAGCTGTATACCATATATCACAAAAATGTTAAGAACTCTTTGGGACTAAATCACAGAACATTTTCGGAAAAAATATTCCATCTTCAGTGATGCTATCTCAAAATTTGTACAACCACTTTAATTAAGAAAAACATGAAAAGTTCTATTTTGACCAAGGTGGCAAATGTAAATAAGTGGATGAAAACCCTTTAAATGTTATTTAATTCCTATTAGATTACATGGTTGCTGTTAATTGTATAGCATGTAGACCCCAACGTGGATCACTGGTTCAGAGACGGATCTTAGGTAGCAACTAATCAACTACAATATTATTTTGATTCTTTGTTACTTAATGTCCTCTCAGAGACTACATCCACGGACCAGTAATCCTCGCTGGAAGTTAACGTTGTCAAGAAGTGAATCTACACAAAATTTAACATACTATACAATTATCAACAACCACGTAATCTAATAACAATTAGAAAACATTTAAAGGGTTTTCACCCATTTATTTAGTGGCTTTAAACATGTATACCTAGTAACTATAAAACCCCATTTGCTTTAACATTGGTCAAAAGTGGTTACACTTATTTTAGGTAACAGCACTAAATATAGAATATTTATTCCGAAAACGTTGTGATTTAGCCCGAAAAGGTTCTTTTAGATAAAAATTCCTTTTTTTTCCTAATTTTGGTTATCAGTTAAGGTTGCTCGTTATTTATTTTATGTATGGTATGATGTCAATTTTTAAATTATCCAAAAAACATAAACGAACTTCTTTCCTTAGATCAGTACTAATAGTATTTAGTACAGCAGCCTCGCCTGACTGTAAAAGCCACTGAAAATAATAATGGATAGGCCAAAAGTAATACATATATACAATATATCGACAATCTGCCACCAGATTAAACAAAAATAATATCAACAAAGAACAAAAGTTGATGCCTGCGTTAAAGGACGACAGGGGTAAGCAATCATGAATTTATTCAGACATTTATACGAATATAAGCATACGTTTTTAATATGCTAAAGAGCACAAAATTTAAATTTTTGTTTAACTCTATCAATCACCTTGTCTATTACAATAAACAACTCTCAAATTATACAAAAAAACTACTCTATACTATGCTATCCGTAAAAATTAGTAAGAATTGTCCTACTGTTAGGAACCCACTTACCATTCCTGGAACAACAGTTTAAAATGTTCTTTTTTTAATCGTCTTTCAGAAAAACTGCAAATGGCAAATGTACCCATTTTAAGACGATTTCTTTAACTTACTATATGCCAATAACAATATTGTCATCATACACTTAACTTCTTTTTTATTCAATGTTGCTCAATATTGTTCTATATCTGTCAAATATTAGTAACAATTGCCATACTAGTCAGTAATTACTTTAGATGACTGGAACAAATGTTCTTTTTAATGTACACATCACATAAAAACTTGAATGGCACATGCTTCTTTTTCCAGACGCATTGTACACAGTTTTTACAGTACAAAAAATGTCAACAATTTTAAGAATAACTGCTATTTTTGTCTAGTTCTATGTATATACATCAATAAAAATTGTCATAATACAGAGTACTTTTTTATTGAAACATTCTATATTGTGCAATAAATTTTGTCGTTCGATAAGAGATGGCGCTATGAGATACGTCATTTAATTTTTCTTGAAGATAGTACTGTGTCGAAAACAAGTTTAAGCGAAATTTCATGTAGATCTGTCAACACATTTGTATATATAAGCTGTTCAAAGTTGAGGGTGTCACAGTATTTTTTTATAATGAATAAAATTGAAAGTGATTTATTTTTGGCAGATTTAGCATCAAATTCACGAACCAATATTGACAGTATATAGGGCTTTAAGGGATAAAAATAATGTTATGCATCGTTTCATCATAACGGATGAGAACTATGTGACACCATGATCCTGAATCAAAAGAAAAAAGAAGATGAGTGTTGTGAATTCGGTACTTCGGCTATAAAGAAAGCGAGAGTCCAGAAAAGTCCAGCATACATTTTTTAGAACGCAAAAACAAATTTTGCTCGATATACTTACAAACTAGCAATACGATTATTATAGTAACCTGAACCAGTTGGATGTAAAAAGTTGTGAGAACAGACCTGGTTTATAGAAGAAAAAATATTTTTCACAAACAATCCATCCTTTTACAAAAAAAAAATAGCAAAAATCAGTGAATGTTAGGACGGATTTTGCAACATACAATATATTCGCCAATTTAGATACCTGTGAGTGATGTTCTCACCTGATTCATCTTCTGAATTCTCACTTCAGGTATTGAATAACATAATGTATTTCAGAACATAAAACGCATTTTTCTCATGAAACGACAAAATTTATTTAACACTCTAATATGTTTCAGAATTTTCTATTTTATGACCGAAAATCAATGAGATTCGGCTACTTTGTGAAGAACAATAACGAGTTGGTGATTGAAAGAGTCAAATAGTCCACATCTTTAAAGGTGCCGAAGACTCATGTTTGACATGAGAAGCCGACGGGAGTTTCATTTGGAGTTGAAAAAAATTGTCATCGGCCGGGTCAGTCTATAATGTCACTTGAAAATTGTTTTCTGGCTTTACACATCTCTTCGTGTCAAATGTCATCTATTTTCGTTTATTTCATTTATTGGTAATCGAGCACAGAGCAGTCAATTCTCACGAACCATCACGTTTAGTATGAAAATAAAATCTATAGAATGGAAACTTTCTTATATTATATTTTTATATTGAAGGTGTTGAATAACAAAAATTAAGATTATCAATAGTCCCCATGAGGAATCTAACGAAACGACGTGAAACATGTGAAAGAAAACCATCACATCATAACATACATGATATTACCATGATGTAATATTTTTATATACTTATAGTAAAATAAACACAGTGGTCACCTAAGCTATATGTCTAATGAAACTTCTTAGTGAGTGGATCAATTTCAGTATATCCTCAAATTTTACCTGCGGGTAGTTGAGAATGATAGAAAACAACCACTAAGGTCAGGATAATGCGTATGCATCGCATTAATTTAATATTTACTTGCCAATTCCTAATAAGAACTTTCTAAAATAGACACATTTAATATGTGGGCTTTTGAAGTATCTTCTTTCAATTTTTGATAATTAGAATCTTACTTTTATAAAAAATTTCTATTAAAAAAGACCATTATTTCAATACTACTATCAAAAATTGAAAGAAGATATGAAAAACATCGAAGATGACATTGAATTACTATTTTAAAAATGTTTCACAAAGAATTCCCTTATTATGGAATTCGAAGATCAATAATAAAGAAATAAATATATTGTAATTAATATACAATGTAAATTACACTATTAGTGACCAATTGGTTTTTCGATTATCTCTGGCAACCGACCACAAGTCAAATTGAAAGATCCGCTCAAAATGATCCACTACTTAAGGGGTTGTATATGACATTTGATTTTCCTTTTACTATCAATATGTGTATTTTAGTATAAATTTAATATAATTGTTTATTCATTGTTTCAAGATTAGCAGTTCTTTCGGCATTCTATTAATTTGTAATTTGCGATCAGATAAATGAACTGACCAGTGCTAAATCTGTTCATTAGAGAAAATATAAAACATCACTAGTTGTTTACTTTTGTACACTACTACTATAATAATTGCATGAAATGGGTTCAAACTCTGTCACAGTTCATCATAAGGTCACTATTTTCCTTTTATTTTCAGGATTTTACACTTTGCTGCGCTTTTATCTATTGTGGAGGTTGTCCACTACTTTTATCCCCAGTGTCCACAGCATTTCAATTCACGACTAAACATCACATCAATTAATGTAATTTTAAATATTCTCAATCGCACACAACTATTTGATAGTTTTATTATCAAATTATTAGGAAAGTATATTGAACTAAAATGGACTATATTATATCAACATTCTATCTCGGTAACATATACAAGTTTTATGACCATTTGGTGTACCAATTTTGCATTGTTGTCACTTAACTAACACAAAACTAGACAGCTTGTTGTAGCAACGTAAAAAAAGCATAGCGATTGTGTTAAATGTCAAATATTTTTTGTTACATCAAGACCTTCAATATGTTTTAGAAAACATTTAAAATATCACAATGGGTATAGGAAGTTCGAGAAATTCAATGTATATTGAATATTGTAAAATTATTTACAGGTGTTTCCATTCAAATGATATCAATTTTCAAATCCTATATACAAAAACTGCTCCGAACAACTAACAAAACGAAAATTACAACTATACAAAAGCAACGTGATGCGTAAAGCCGAGTCAGCATCCGATACAAAAAACAGATTTAATGGAAGTCGACCGAATAGGCCATTTGACATTCAATGAAAATCACTTTCGTTCCCTGTCATTCCCCACGCTCTCGCCATCAACTCTGTGCGATCTGTCGCGGTTCATACCGCACCGCGGGGCGGTCGACCGTTAGCGGTATGACTTCCGCTGCCGGTACCGCCCCGTCCTCTGGTATTGCCGATATGTTTGCGCTTATCCACATTATTAACATAATCTGAAATTGAATTACTACCAGAATTGTATCTATCTCCGCCACCTCTGCCGCCGCCTCTTCCTCGCCCGCCTCGGCCTCTCATGGAACCGCCTCTGCCAGATCGACTGTTGCCGTCCATGTCTGAATTGTAACCTCGGTCGTTTCGGCGACTCATAGAGAGGCTCTGCATTGAACCTAAGCTTGAACCGGTGATACTGCGCAGTTGCTGATCTATTTCTAATTTTTCTTGTCTAAGCTGCTCTACTTCCTAAAAAAAAAAAACAAATATGTTTATAATACGTACCCAATGTGTATATTTAGGTAATATATAGTCCATCTAAAAAGTATCCGGAAAAAAAGAAAGCAGAATTATAATTTTACGGTATTTATTTCTATTACTTGAAATATAAAATTTCAACAAATAATTCACCTCATTTACATATACAACCTCCATTTATATTTAAACACGTTCAGGTACATCCGAAACTAAGTCAAGACCATAATTTTCGGTAATGGTGTTCCAGGCCTGTAAAACTGACCGAATCAAACCTTCTTTATCTCGTGGCGCTGGTCAGTCCCCATATGTTTTGAATGGGGCTAAGATCTGGAGATGCTGTTGGCCACGGAATTGTTGCCAATTCGTGCTCTTGTATCCAAGCTTGAGTATAAACAGAAGTATGGCATCTAGCATTATTTTGCTGAAAACGCCACCCCTCTGGATATAAAACATGAGCCGTTTCCAGAAAAAAACCATTTAGGATGTCACAATATTTCGCACTATCAACAGTACCATTAACTATAGAGAGATGTAGCACTACGCTGAGATATTGCTCCCCAAACCATTATTTTAGTGGGAAATTTGGAAATTTTAACGGTAACATTTTCGCTTGTAACCATTTTCTTTGTTGCCTTTGCAGAGGTGTCATTGTAGAGATTTTTTTGGATTCCTTATTATGTAGCCTTGCTTTTTCAGTGACATACGGACAGTTTCTGGGCACACTTTTATGCTTCGTAGATTTCCAAATCTGTTCGCTAATTTTCGAAACCCTAGGCACGGATTTTGTCGTCCTAAAGCCACTAAAGCATTTAAATTATTTCCGCGAATCTTAAGCGGTCTACCCGAAACTGGTCTATGTCTCATATCTATGCCATTTTTTATCCTCTTTATTGTCTCATACACTGCACTTTTTCCGAGTTCAGTCAATAGCACTAATTTTTTAACGTTTACGATACCCTTTCTATACAAATATTCCACACTTTTCTTTTTCTACTTGCGACATTATTTCACAAATCTTAGTCTGTTTACAAATAACACTATTTGACAGATGGTGTTGTCATGCGATTTGGTCCATAACCTACTTGATGCATTACTTTTGTCTTAAAATGTTACAAAAAGGAAATCCATTAAAATTAGGAAAAATATAAAATTCCGGATACTTTCTAGACAGACTATAGTTATGTAGTAGAACTACAGAATATGTAACTAAAATATAAAACATTGTTTTTTATTATAACATATCTTACTCTTGCGTAAAGAGACTGTTTTTCAACACAATGCCCAGGACAATTTTTTAAAATTTGGTTACTGGCTTACAGGTAAACATACAAATATATTTTTCATACAATTGAGGGAAGGACAAATACAGAAGAATTGAAATCTCACATTAGTAAAGGACACTCTAATAGGTGTTTACGAAGGAAATGGGGGCAGATTTAATTAAGATGCACCAAAACTTCTTAAAAATTCTGAAAATCATTAATCATACACATTAATAAGAATGATTGCAACAATTGCAGTGAATGATTGCTGAAAACAAATTATTATTCATTGTCGTAGGTTTTTCTTCTCCTCTTTCGAGAGTAATAAATCTGTGGGTAATGTGATGAATCCGGTCGACGTGTTAATAGCGACTTTACCATTTCCAATGTCTAACGACTGCTTCAAAAACACAATTGCACTTTGCTCTTACTACATAAACTCATATGTAAATTGTCAATTGGAGCGTCCTATTTTAATTTATTTTATCTTACTATCTTATGTTATAATAAACTCTTGAGACAAAATTAACGCACCACTCATATTTTTCTTAATAATCTTTACTTATTGATAATTTACTGTACGACAAGTTGCCTATCTATGGACCTTGTTAGACAGTGACAGTTGTTATGTAAGCTAATTAGTCTTTTTTAACAATAATTTGTATTAAACTTTGTTTTAGACTAAAAGTGAGTTAAACTTTTCATGAAAATTGCCGATTAAAGTAAAGTGCTTGTGAGAAACAAGTTTTTATTGTAATATTTTTCATCACATGCATGTTTGGAAGTTCATTTGCATAAAAATCAAATAAAAAAATGAACCGCCAAAGAAATTTGTCATTGGAGGAGGCAGTCCGAGCATCGACTCTCCTAGATGAAGGATATTCAATGCGATATGTTGCAAGTTTGTTAGGAAGACATCATTCCAGCATCAGTCGCAAAGTGAGGCCATATAATGAAACAGGGTCGTACATTGCACTAATCAAATTGATGACCGTTTTTTGAGACAACATGCTCTCAGAGACAGAAGAGTCACCAGAAATTTGCTAAAAATGAACTAGCAGATGTTCCATCGAAGTAGACCGAGGGCAAGCGGACGAAAATACAATGGCACTAATCAAACTTACCAAAGAACACAGGGTTCAGAGATTAAATTTTGCAAGATTGCATCAAATTGACCATCGATGATTGGAAATGAGTTCTTTTCTCCGATGAGACTAGAGTAAGCCTAAAAGCTGCAGATAGTAGTGAGCGTGTCTGGCGAAGGCGAGGAGAAAGGTTTGCCAGCTGAAATATCTCTCCTAAAGTACCTTTTGGTGGTTTGGGGGGAATTTGTTTTGAAGCTTGTACGGAGTTGGTCCCCATACGTACGAGGTCTATGAATGTCCATTATTACTTAGACAACATTATTGTTGAACATGTAATGCCTTTTGCTCCGTTTCTTGGACCAAATTTTTTATTAGCAAATACGTCGTCTCATGTGGCTCGACAAGTTATTGGCTAACTAAATGATGTTGATATTTCATTAGAGTGGCCACCTAACAGTCCGGACATAAATCCTATAGAGCATCTATGGGAGTAAAAGTAAAAGATTCGAAGTCGTAGACCCCCTATTGACAATCACAACCAACTCATTGAGGCCGTTATCGAAGAATGGGAGAATATTCCGCAAGCTTTTGTTAAACATTTGATATCAAGCATGCCTCGACGCATAAATGCAGTCATAACAAGTAGAGGAGGGCCTACACGGTATTAGTGTTGACCCAGATGCATTTTATTTTGTTACTTTACTATATTTTTTTCTTTTTGCAATTTGGAGTTATACTAGCTTATTTACGCATTTCCGGCAAAAACAAATTTTTAAAGAAACAATAAGACAAAATAAGGTCATGATAAAGTTATGTTGGACTTATTTGTAGGTGTTTATTATTATTTGAATGTAACTTAGTTTTATTTTGTGTTCCTATTGTAAATATTTAGATTAATTAAAGTGGTGCTTTAATTTTGTCCAGGATGCCCATACATTTCAATGATTCATTTTTATTAATGTAGATTTATGTTTATGCAAAAAATAATGTTCAAGAAAAGGTAATATTAAAGGGGAAACAGGTTGTCAAACTTACCTTTAGGTGTGCTAAATGATACTGCAGAAGTACTTTCGCATTCGATATACTTTCTACAGTTCCAACGAAAACAAAAGGTACCTGCCCTTCTTCACGTGGAATGGTCGGTTGTGGCTCATTGTCACCTTCAATTTTAACCCGTACCTAAAACATTATTATATAATAATTCACTGTACATACTTATGCTAGTATATTATTCGTCTATATGAATACCATAGATTTCAGTAGATCAAATATCAGCAAGACCCTTTTTGGTAACTCCACTGTAAAAGCAAGTAAAAAGTAGATCTTCTTCTTCTTCTTAAGGTGCCTTCTCCATTACTGAAGGTTGGCTATAACTACAGCAAATTGCTCTCTATCTTGAGCTGTTCTTAGTATCGCATGTGTGTCCATGCCTGTCCAGTCTCTTATGTTCTTCAACCAGGAGCATTTTCTTCTTCCTGGACCTCTTCTTCCTTCCACTTTCCCTTCCATTATAAGTCGTAGGAAGTTGTATTTTTCTCCTCTGTAGATATGTCCTAAATAACTCGTTTTTCGGTTTTTTACAATATTTAGGAGTTCTCTGTCAGTACCCATTCTTCTTAGCACCTCGTTGTTGGTCACGTGCTCTGTCCAAGAGATCTTCAGCATTCTTCGAAAAACCCACATCTCAAAGGCTTCTATACGCCTCATACTTGTAATTCCGAGAGTCCATGTTTCCACTCCGTATAGCAATATGGAATAAATAAACGTTTTTACAAATTGGTATCGGATGTCCAACGATAACGTAGAGTTTATTAGAAATTTTTTCATTCGCTGAAATGCGGACCTAGCATATTCTATACGAGCACGTATTTCGACCTCGTGGTCAAGATCGTTTGTTATCCAGCAACCAAGATACTGGAATCTTTGTACTGGTTCTATATGTTTGTTATAGATACGAATATTAATGTCGACATTTGGTGTACGTGTAACAGCCATCACTTTTGTTTTATTTGTGTTTATATTTAGTCCCAAGCTATCTCCCTCTCTGGTTATGACATTCAAAAGTCGTTGTAAACCCTCAGCACTGTCCGCAATAATGACGGTGTCGTCTGCGTATCTTAAGTTGTTTACGTATTCTCCGTTGATTTTTATTCCTTCTTCAATATTTTCGAGGGCATTTTGAAAGATCTTTTCGGAATATATATTAAATAACAGTGGAGAAAGTACACAGCCCTGACGAACTCCTCTTTTTATTGGCAATTCTGCTGTCAGACGATTGTCTATTTTGATAGATGCCATTTGATCCCAATATAGTTTTTTAATAAGTGCTACAGTGTTATGGTCTATACCATGTTGTGTTAGGGTTTCTATGAGTTCTGTGTGTTTAACTCGATCAAACGCTTTTTCGTAGTCGATAAAACAGAGAAAGACGTCTTTTCGCTGATCTCGGCATTTTTGTAGTAATACCTGGAGGCCAAATAATGCCTCCCTTGTACCAAGCCCCATACGAAATCCAAATTGATTGTCGCTAAGGTTTCTTTCGCATTCTCTGTATATTCGTTGATGTACAATTTTGAGTAAAATTTTCAGAAAATGGCTCATCAGGCTAATTAATCTGAACTGTGAGCATCTATTTGCTTTATTTTTCTTGGGTATAGGTATAAATGTCGATCTAAGCCAGTCTTCTGGGAAGATTCCAGTGGTATATATTTTGTTAAATAATATTGTTAATGTCTGAAGATTTTCTTCATTGATGAGCTTTATCATCTCTACGTATATTTCATCTGGACCTGAGGCTTTTCGTGACTTTGCCGTATTGATTGTTTTTGTAACTTCAGATGTTAATATATCAAGTATTGTTTCTTGTACTATATTCATTTGTGGTTCTGTTCTCTCGTCATCAAACAGATCTTCGATGTATTTTTCCCACATGTCTCCTACTTCTTCTGGACTAGATACTATTTCGTTGTTATCATCTACTAAAGTTGTTGTAGTGATTTTTTTCTTCATATTTGTGACTTCCTTAATCTTTTTGTAGGCATTAAAGTAGTCATGCTTTTTTAGTAAATGTCCCAGTTCCTCACACTTGCTGCTCATCCATTCTTCTTTGGCTTTCCTAATTTTGTTTCGGATGATTCTCTGGGTTTCTTTATATTTTTCTACATTACGATTTTTGTAAGATCGCCTTATGTCCATCAGTTCTAGGATTTCTTCTGTCATCCATGTATTCTTTGTTTTTCTGGTGCTGTCTTGTAGTTGTTCTCTTTGTATAGTTGTCATCGTTGTTTTGAAGGTGTGCCAAATACTTTCTATTGTCTCTTCTGCTTCCGCGGGGGTTTCACTGAACTTTTCTTTGAGTGTATCATTGAGTTTTTTCTCTATTTCTGCCTGTACTATTGGATCTTTAAGTTTTTCTAGGTTAGGTTTTATATTCTTTCTGTATTTGATTTTTTTTAGTCTAATTAAAATTTTACCAACAACAGGATTGTGGTCGGAACCGATGTCCGCCCCGGGATATGTTTTAACTCCCTTGATTCCATTTCTATAACGTTTCTCAATTAATATATAGTCAATCTGGTTTCTTATTATGCGGTTTCGATTATCGCCAGGTGCTTTCCATGTATATAACCTTCTTTTGGGTTGTTTAAACCAGGTGTTTGCGTAAAGGTGTAAAAAGTAGATAGTAGAAACAAATGACAAGCTTACACACAATGAATTTAGTTAGTAAGCGACGACCTGTTTCGACCACTACAGTTTTCTGGTCATCATCAAGTCATAGGTAAAGTACAATCTTTAGAATGCTAAAAAAATTACATATTGTAATTCTACCAATTTGAACAAACCTTACATCAGGTATGGTATAAAATGTGCCAATATTACTCATCTTAGTTAAAAAACGGGAGGGATTTTTACTTAATGAATGACGGTACATTCCGGTACAAGGTCTATTGTTAAAGAGCATTGTTTACTTTTATAGAGCTATATTTATTGTTTGAGCATTTGAAACATGCCATCTTAACAATCGACCTTGTAACGGAGTGTAAATACTACTTATTTTATACTAATTTCATCTTTACACTCATTAAATAAATTAAAAAATCCCCCATATTTTAACTAACATAAGTAGTATTGGCTAAGGTTTGTTCAAATTGGTAGAAAAAAGTTTTTCTGTCATTTAAGTGCAGATTTGATGCCATAGCTAGGTGACATGTTCCAGTATCTGTTGTTTTATATCATGCATCCAGTATTTCTCCTTTAATTTGGTGTGTGGAATCGAGAACCTGTAAACATCTAAAACTATGAGTTTCAACTTCGCCTAGGTGTGTGACAACACTATTATCAAATTCATAGACTGAGGAAGATTCAGAACATTATTTTCAATCGTTTCATGTCAATAATTAACATTTCTAACTAATATGTGTGTAGTTTTTAATGTACAAAAAAAAATTTTTTTGTAGTGTACTTTCTCAAATTTTAAATTTTGGTGGTAATGATTGAAAAAAAAATTAAAGACTTCACATAGAAACCTTATAATTTGAAAGTTCTAAAAGCTATATGAATATATTAAAGATACATATTTAGGAACATATGATTTTATAGAATTAGACCGTTAATAAGGTAGGTATATTAAATTTGTTAAGGTAACAACTTCTTTCTTTTGTTCTCGGATTTATTTGTTGAACAAATTGAATTTTTCTTCGTGATCTCATCCTGCTGGAAACCATAGCATCTAAATTTCGTATCTGCCACCAATCGCGCCACAAAAATTGAGTGGTTTTTGCAAGTAGTACCTTCACGTACCTTAGTGCCGGCATTTAATATTTGCAGGAAAAATAGTGACAATAGGACAAATAGTGGTTACACACTGATGATGATATGGGAGACAGCAGAATCAAAGATTCAATATCAGAGGCTCTAAATATATCAACAGAGCGTGTACCAATATGATTTAGTACTTTTTTGAATATAAAAAGCTCACTGAGCAATGGAGCTCGCGTTTGTTCAAGTTCGACCAAAAACAAACACGTGTCTTGATTTCGAAAACTTTTCGAAATCATACATATATGATTGCTGATGAAACATGGGTTCATGGGTTTGCACCCGATCGACCGGAAAGATCACGACTATTTTTGTTGGGGCGCGAAAGGACTTCACAAAGGTCCAACAATAACTAAACTACGCAGCTCTAATGAACAGTTTCGACGTTGCTTTGAGAAAACCACCATCGTTTGTCCCGAAAAAAGAAGTGTCTTCCGTCAAGACAATGCTGTCGCTTACAAAGCCACCGTTGCACAAGCAAACTTGGACCAATTGATGTACCAATTTATCGGCCACCCACCGTATTCGGCAGATTTAACCATGGATAATTACTTTCTGTTATCAAACTCAAAAAATTGCTCGAATGATGCCTTTGCGCAATGAACTGAAACTTCACACTATTTTGAGGAGGTAGGTAAATTGCTTTTCAGAAGCGATAAAAAAATTGAAAAACGTCTCATCAAGTGTATTGAGCCAAAAGGAGATATATTGAAAAATAAAAAAAATTGTGCATTTTCTTAGTAAAGACTAAATGCTCCATGTACTACTGGTAAATCCGTGAAAATCACTAATGAAAAATAGCTTTGAAAAATAATTTTACAAATGAAAAATGAGGCTTTTATACTAATATTAAGTTATGAAATGAAAATAGCTATGCTCTACAGTCACTAATGGTTTCATAAAGATTTGTACTGATAATAATAAATTAATAGGCTTAGCTATTTTTTCTTCAATTTTAAAAATTAGGTTAAGATCCCTTCAAACTGACAAATAAAATCAATCCAAATAAAGGTGAAGCTGATTCTGATACCATACTTCTTTTCTACATTTTTTGTAGATTAATAGTTTTTAACATAAATGTGTTTTTTTTTGAAAATATTAGGCATTACTAGAAATGAAAAATTTGGCACTTTTAATTATGTAAATCCTCTACCGATGAACTGTTTCTAATAGAACAAATTGTTAAAACTTCGAAGTTTTTGGTATTTGAGGACAAACTATAGCCTGAACCCCAAATAGGGGTAGAAGAAATACCAAATCCCACAACAGAAGAAATTGAGGAAATAATAAAAGTTATGGAAAACCAAAAACAGCCCGAGGAGAGCGGCATTGCGACAGAAAACATATCCATATAAAATATGTAGAAGGGGCTTTACGAAACCAACTTCGTGGATTAATAGTAGAAGTGTGGGATGCTGAAGAAATGTCCCAAGACTGGAACAAGGACATTATAATGCCTATACACAAAAAGGGAGATGGAACCGAATGCTCAAACAGGAATAGAGGAATATCTTTGATAGAAGTAATATACAAAGTACTCGATATAATATTCCAAAAAAGTCTAAAAATATATTTGATCTAAGGAAGTATCAAAGAGGATTTCGCAAGGAAACATCAACAACCGATCAAATTTTTATGTTAAAATAAATCCCGATCAATTACTATGAATACAACATTTCTGTACAAGTACCTTTCATTGATTACAAGGCCGCCTATGATACAATAGACAGGAACAAATTAATAGAAATGCTAAAAGAATTCCAAGTACCAGAAAAAATAGTAATATTGGTAAAAATAAGAAAAACCATTTGTGCTGTGAAATGCAATAATACAGTGTTAGAAAAATTCGAAGTAAAAAAAGTTGTTCATCAAGGAGACCCATTGTCTACCTTGATATTCAACATAGTTCTAGAAAAAACTGTAAGGGTTAGTGGAATAGATAGGTTGAATACTCCTTTCTACAAATAGCTCCATTGCTTAGCGTACGCTAATGATGTGGTTCCCATTGCAAGAAATGGAAAAGAACTGTTAAGTTTAACAAAAAAACTGAATCGTGAAAGGTCTAAAATGGGACTGAAACTTAATATTAATAAATCCACGTACAGTTGTAGAATTCGAGAATGTGGATGAATATATGTACTTAGGTACCCTTATTGCCCACACATGTAAAGAAGAAACTGAAATCACCTGAGACTGACCAAGAGCAACAGATATGCTGAGGCCCTGAACAAAATAATTAAGGCCAAATATATATCTCGTATACAATAATAAGAGTATACAAAACTATAATTAGACCCACAATGCATACGCTGCCGAGACATGGACTATGAACAAAACCATACAGAACAGATTGGAAGAATGCGAAAGAAAGACACTTCGGAGAATGTTTGGTGGAAAAGTAGTAAAGACACAATGGAGAAGACGAATGTAGAAGTATACCAATTATACGCTAACCCTCCAATAACGAAAGTAGTGAAAAAACATAAACTAGAATGACTCAGACATCTAGAAAGAATGTAATAGATAAGTCGAGAATATTGGTTGGAAAGTACCTGAGTGCAAAAAAGAGAGGAAGACCAAGAAAGAAATGGAGAGATGTAGTGATGAAGATGTCATAGAGATGAGAATTAGAAATTGGAAGCCGACAGCTAAGAACAGAAAACAATTCATCCAGCAATGGGTCTAAAAGGCATTACAACGCTATATACATATACACATAAATCAAGGGCATATGATAGTAATCTTGTTATACCGAAAACTAATTACATTGGAAACGATCCATCGATGCTACTAGTTAATATTTAGAGTTTGATCTTTGGTAAGGATCCATAACTGAGGTGAGGGCAGATTCACCTTAACTTGCATTGATTTTGACTAATTTTGATTCGTTAAGTGAAAAGAGATCCTCACTATTCTAAATTTTAATAAAAAAATTCAATACTATATTTACCACCCCGCTTTTGTCGACAATTTCTTGGATGATCCTGCCATTCTTGCCTATAACTTTGCCGACCAACGCCCTGGGAACTTGGAGAGATTCTTCGCTATATTCTAACATGGATCGCGCCTTTTTCACAGCCTCATCAGTCTCACCATAAATTTTAAACGTGCAAGAATTCTCCTCTAATTCGATATTGGTAATTCCATCTACTTTTCTAGCTTGTTGAATATTCGCACCGTGCGCTCCGATTGCCAAACCCATTAAATCTTCTCTAACCATGAACTCATCTGAATACCTGAAGCAAATCATCATGTTATTTATGTCATATTTGTGGTAGCATTTGAAATAGAAAAAGATTTGCCAGTTACATAACCTGCCATATCCGAAGAAATGTACTGAGTATAAAACCTAAGTATATTTGCTAATAATTTTGTCAAATATGGGTGTGTTTGAGTATTATTGGCTTTGAAGTCAATGTCCATTCGCCATCTTACCTTTGTGGGATTATTTTGTATTTTGAGCTCTAAACGAGAGCTCCTTACTTTCTTCTCGTTTGTTATGTAGGTTAGGTACAATCATATTCCTGCTCTAATTTTACAAATATATATAGCTAGTTGTTTTTAGTATAATATAACCAGTTGTTTTTTTATTATACAGGGTGTTTCAAAATAAGGTAACATCGTCTCTAGGATAGATAAAAACTTATAATATATATAATTGGTTTGCTCGGCAAAAAATGTTAGTATGCCATCCGTTTCCAAGATAACGGGTGTTTAAAAAAAATGTTACACATTTTTTACGATTTTGCCGAAACTACTAGCGATATTGTAATTAAATTTTACACGAACATGTTTTGGAAGCTGATACATCCCATGAATTTGTTTTTACATCTAACTCTCATAGAGTTCACTTCACAAGGTTCGTACCAAGTATTAGTCAACATAACTTTTTAAAGGGTAGAATTATTAATCAAAATTCCAACATCAAAATGAACATCAAACAATTTTACACTAAAAAGGTACTCTTGGTAAAACTCGATGATACCATGTACCGTTTTCAGAATACTTTGATTTGAAAATTATGAAGTAATAACCGATGCTGGTAGAAAGTAACGATAAAGTTGTTCATTAAAAAAAATCACAAGAAAATTAAAATAATGACTAAGAACATAAAATAAACGGTTCAGGAGGCCAATGAACCAAATTATAATAATAAAAAGAACAGGTGTTGCGTTACTTAGAACCTGAGATATTGCAGTTTTCAAGCGCGCTCTGTTTTGAAGTTCCGTTTTCAGTTTTCATGGACTTGAAAGGCATTTCCACCACCATGCGGCCTCGGTGACCTTTTTTAGTTTACTAACTTTAACCAGTTTCCACAATGTTAATTAGGCATATATTAACCCATTAAAGCCCATAATTCCATAGTAGGAGCAAGAAGGTGCAATACAATATATACATTATTTTCAAATTCAAATTACTGATAATTTTGAACATTATGAAACACTTTAAAACGCTTATCAGAGTGCAGAAGTATGTCACACTTCTTACATAAGTAAAAAGTATGATTTTCACATACCCTGCAACGTCGATATTTAGAGCTACCCTTCTCTATTGTATGATCAGTCCGACTTTTCCAAGTCTCCCAAGAACAGGGGAAAGTTGTAACGAGGATCACACTCCACTCATTGATGGTCTACTTCCAAAAGATTTCAAGATATAAGTTGCACACTCGTCGAAATTGTAACAGTGGCATGGAGTGACCAAGTCACAGATACAATAGCCAAGTCTGAGCACAGGAAGCACCTACTGTCTATGAAAAATAAGGCCCCCACAGCTTGTTTGACCTTATTAGAGTATAAGTTGACAAGAATTGGTCAAAAAGGTCTACTCCTCCCATATTACTATTAAACTTGCAATTGGTCCAGGAACATCCCGAGTTATTATGTTTTTATCTGATCGATTATACCGTTTAGACGACTTCATAGGTTGAAAATCACACAACTGGTGAGCATAACATTTCTCCTGTAGATGAAACTGAAGCGCTTCTTCGAAGAGTTTCTTTTTTAATCTTTTTTTATTTGGTTTTGGATTAATTGTTTACGAGAGTTCAACACAGAATGGTATCTCGAGAACAATATCAATATTTTTGTACCTTTTTGTAGCTGGAGGTAATCATTCAATCGATTACACATTTCCTCCTTGTCCTAGATCAGCATCAGATATTTTGGTAGAAGAGTCACAATATGGTTCAATATGACGAATGTAACGAAAGACGTATCAGCAGCAACCCATAATTTAAATCCAAAGCGTATTGTTTTCCTTTTATGAATTGTTTGTTACTGTCGATCTGTTGAACTGTTTGATCTGCCGCAATATGGAATAATGCTCTTATCTATATATAATTACCAGGTGTAATCTGCTTAAAAACCAAGTTGAGAAGTCAAATAATGATCGAATTGTGTAGAGAATCTGTATTCATTTTTCTTGCGTTCATTCAAGTAGCACGGCATGGAATACACTTCAGCTATATTTGACTATTCATATCATCAAACGATTTTACATACAGCTTTTGATATGGCAGTGGATGATATCCTGAATATTCTTTACTACTACAAAGAATTTTTAGAAGTTTTGAAATTATGATTTAGCTTTTGTGCGGCATAAATGTTGGTTTCTGTCAGAATGTAAGTAGTGGTCTTGAGAAATTTGCAATGGAGGCATCAAATGGGCATTTTAAATTTTGACGCAAGAAATCTTTGGCATTTGATAGAAATTCTTTTACTTTTTCACCAATTTTTGAATGTAGAATGTAGCTATCCCTTGCCCATTTTGACGCACGTGCTATTGGAATGTGGAATTTTTTGGATCTTTTCGTAGCTGTTTCAATTTGTTTTATGTTTGCGCTTGGTGATTCCTATATCCCGTTTAGATTGGCATTATATTAACAATTTCATTGTCTTTAGTTTGTTCAAAATTAAGAAATAATAACCTTCACTTATCAGGCGCTAAGCATTTACTGCACTCTTGTAGTATGCTTGTTTAGTAAGAACCTAAAAGAATCACCTCCACGCATATTTTCTGTCAGATTCGTTCAATTGTGACTGATACAAATTGTAAACATCATGAAAAATAAAATTGCCAGAGGGCAGAATGGATTAAACTTAATATTAAATTTTAAATGAACTGAAACTTTATTGACAAACTGACAAAATTTCAGCTCTTAATGATTATAAATGGTTGCACTAAGAATTTAAAATAAATAAAATTATCTCAGGTTCTATTCTTAATTAGACGATTTAAGAAAACTCAATACAAACTGGATAAGAGCGGCGCAAGATAGACGGGGTTGGAAACATGAGAAAGAGGCCTATGTTCAGCAGTGGACTCTTGAGGCTGGATGATGATGAGGTTCTATTTGCCCTACAAACTTCTTTTAATATGACGTGTTTTTTATAACCTTTCAGATGGTATAGGTATTTTGTTTTTTTTTGCAAATGTGAGAACGACGGAGATAATTAAATTGTTTATGAGGCGAAAAATGGTACTTCATTCTGCATCAATTATTTATAAGTAAACAATTAAAAATTAATACACTTTTTCAAAAACTTGAAAATTGTAGATCTTATGAAAAGAATCAGACCAAAAAACCAAATATTAATCAAGAACCTGTACTACCATTTGGTAGTACAAATGCGATAAACTTTTTCCTTTTTTTCTCAAATGGGATAAACAAATAGAATTATTTAAAAACTACTAGACCAATTGGGCCCATATTTCCAAGTATAGTATGTATCTATAAAAAAGCTCATATTGTGAAATGGATTTTAAATATTTTTGTTCTGACGGCGAGATAGGCAGCCGTGCGCAGTTTCAAGTTCATTCTTGTTGAAATTCTGAACCACGTGAAATAGTGCTCGAAGTTATTTTTCATAGTAAAAACGCTTTTTACAGCGAGACAAAATTGAAATTTATTGTATTGTGATATTAGATACCTGCTTAAGTAAGTACTAAAAATTAAGAATGTTAAAGTTTCTAGAAAACCCCAAAAAGGGTTTGTGCTATATGGCACACTATGAAGTTATGAACTCATTCATTGTTTTGTAGATATGGATCCGAAATTCTTTTATGGTACAATGAATGCAGTTTCTAGCTGTAGACGAACAGATTATACCAACAAAGGCGCGAAGCCAGCTAAACCTGTATTACCCAAAAAAACTACATAAGTGGGGCTTCAAAAACTTTGTGCTGAGTGGTATTTCGGGATTCAGCTATGACATTAATTTGTTTGCTGGTTCCCAGAGTAATATTGTACCTCTAGCAGCACCAAATCTTAGTATAAGCAGCAACGTGGTTGTCAAATTAGCAGATTCGATACCAAAACATCAACATTACAAGTTGTTTTTTGACAATTGGTTCAACAGCATACCTCTTATGATATATCTGACCAAAGAGGGCATTTTACCTTTGGGAACAGTAAGACTTAATCGTGTTCCTGGAGTTGTGACGCCAGCTGAGAAAGAAATGAAGAAGCGCGGCAGAGGTCATATGGTAGAGAAAATAAATAGCCAATATAGACAATGTGGATAAGCTGAAAGTGAACCAAAGAGAAAAAAAGAAGATTTTTTAAACAAGAAAGTATACATAAAATGATATCTTGTCCTAACAGTGTCCTAATATAACAACTACATGGAAGGTGTAAATCTCCTTGATTCCATGTTAGGATTTTATCGTATAAAAATCAGGTCGAAGAAATATTATTTACGAATATTTTTTCATTTCATTGACATGACAGCCGTGAACTGTTGGTTATTAGCCAAAAGAGTGAAGAAATTTGATTTACCCTTTTGGATACCAAACTAGCAATAGCCGATGCTCTATGCAAAGCCGGAAAACCAATTAAACAGAACAGAGTAGGAAGACCGTCAAGTAGTAGCATTCAGCAGATGTACGAGAACAAACGAAAAAGGGACACACTAAAGAAATATCCCAAGAAGACATCCTGTAAAGATCATTTTCTCTATTGGGATGAGAGCACTAGGTCAAGATGCAAATTTCCAGGCTGTACAGGGAAAACATATATAGTGTGCACAAAATGCACAATACCGTTGTGTATTAATAAAGAAACTGTTATTTGCAGTTTCATACTGTATAATGTATACTGTAACTTCAAAATAGTTTGACTTTAATATTACATTGTTGCAGGATGTTCCATATTTGGCACCAAAAATTTTTTTTTGACAAAGTTTTCCTTGCAGCTAGATTTTTTCCATATTTTTACGTAAAAATAGAATTAAAATTTTTATCTGAGAATTTATTTTGCGGAAAGGGTTAAAAAATTGTATTTATAAACTTTTTTAATTTTGAAAATTTCATTTTGAGGAGCAAGTATTTTGAAGAAAGTAATATGTCGAACGTTATCATCTAGAATGCATAGTTTTTTCACAGTATTTATATGGATGTCTTCTTTTATTTGAATATCTGGAAATAATTGGAATAGATGATAAAGATCTGAGACTTTTACAACATCTATATTGGAATCAAGAAGCTTCTATTCTGGTAGACGGCAAAGAAACAATATTTGTATTCAAAGAGGTGTTAGACAGGGTTGTGTGTTGTCCCCAACTTTGTTTAACGTTTACTCAGAAATAATTTTTAACAAAGCCTTGGAAGGGCAATGTGGAGTTCGAATCGGGGGAGAAACTATTAATAACATCAGATATGCAGATGACACCGCAATTATGGCTGAAAGTATCGAAGATCTTCAATTCCTTATAGATCGAGTCACTAGAGAATGCTCTAATAACGGACTAAGCATAAATACAACAAAGACAAAGTTACTTGTGGTTAGTAAACAAGACCTCGGCGCTATACAACTAATTGTCAATAACGAACCGATAACAAAAGTTAACCATTTTAAATATCTAGGATGTTGGATAAACGAGACACTAAATCGTAGATAACTGAAATTCTCAGCAATTCTCAGCTGAACTTACAGCTGAGAATTAAGTTCCTAAAATGTTATGTGTATCCTGTATTACTGTATGGATGTGAAACCTGGATTATGAAGGTTAACATGATGAACAAATTAGAAGCCTTCGAGATGTGGTTATATCGTAGAATGCTCAGAATATCATGGGTTCAACACATTTCAAACAGAGAAGTCTTGAACAGAGTAGGTCAAGGTGAAGGTGACTTAATAAAGATGATAAAAAAAGAGAAAACTCGAATATCTGGGGCATATAATGAGAGGAAGCAGATACAGGATAATGCAGTTGATACTCAACGGAAAGATCGACGGAAGAAGAGAAATTGGTAGAAAGAAATACTCATGGCTCCGAAACCTTCGTCAATGGACTGGCTTATCAGCAGATGAATTATTACATGCCGCGCAAAATCGAAAACGGTACTCAAAGAAGAAGTCTTCTTTGCTTAAACGTTTCGATTTTTCAAGTATTTGTCGGCTTCGTTTACTAGGATAAAAGAAAGAAAATTTAAAAAATCAACTGAGACATAAGACAAGGAGACATAATATCACAAAAACTATTTTTTACTTTATTGTTTTACAATATCTGAAAAGTCTTCAGCTCCATTTATTTCGGACGAAGGTTCTATCATATCTCGAATACATTTTTTAACCCAGCGGTAACATATCGCCGATAATTAAAACCGCGTGTACTGGTATCGGTACACGCGGTTTCAATTATCACTATAAAATGTATTATACTCGATGTATTGCATCATACTGTATCCCTTAACTGTTTAATCTGTTACTTAATAATGCATATTTGAGAATGATTCCTGAAGTGAAAATCGAAATGTCAAAAACGATTTTTCAATTAAAATTGTGATTAATTCCCATGAAAAATAGTAAATAACATGTTTGTAATTGTTCCGAAAAATATGTACTTAAATCACTTATTTGCAGAATAACAGGATTTAAATTTAATTAAACGTAGACGTAGAATTTATATGCTTTTTATCCTGTTTTCCTATTATGTTATATTTAAATTTCTCGAATTTTTACCCTATTTTATATATACTAACTAATTTTTCCACACATGTGAGAGGGTACAAATATTGCTACTTTCAAAAACGTGCACTTCATTTTCTACATCCATGCTCTCACACTTTACACCTGTTAAATACATAAACGACAAGTGACAGGACGAGCCAGAGTACTTTCTACCCAAAAAAACACAACAATATTTAAAAAAATACGACATGCATCCTCACATTCTCACCTGCTGGCTCGTCCTGAATAAAAAGCTCGTTGATGTGTGAATTTGTTTGGTCTGAAAAAAGAAAATCAGTGTTTTTATAATTTTTCTTTATTGGCCAAAATAAAGATCTGAATCTGAAACGATAGCCCATTACCTATATTTTAAACATAAACTAACGTTCACGGGAACTGAAACTTTTTGATTTTACTTACCCTCCTATTGTCGCCAATTTGGTACTCTCCAGTTGACGGGCAGCTTCTTCTGTACGTTTTAATAAGAGCACTTTTTGTGAGAGGCTTCTGAAATGCATGTCTTGCAGCATCGACGCCAACTTACTGCTTGTCTCGCACCTAGACACTACATTCAAAACTCCCTTTTCAGCATTATAGGTTATGATTCCTGCATATATTGCTTTTTGAAACTCTTTATGGGCACTGTCTATCTTGGCACTAGAAGATAAACTGCTCTGTTAGTTCACATGATCAGACTCGGCATTTTGGCATTACTTGCAACAGAATGCTTTGACATTAAAAACAAAAGTTAAGTTATAAAAAATACTTACTATTCACGAACATCTTCAGGAACTTCGATTTCAAATTTGTGGAACATATTTTTATCAATTGGAGGATTGTTGTTTTTAGCTCTAAGACGGTCCACACTAACTATTTCTGTGTACGTTGTTTCCCAACCCATGTACTCAAGGACATAGAAGTCGCCCTTCATCATCTAAAATGTAAAAATAACATTTATAAGACAAATATGTGGGTTTATTTTTATTTTTACAAGAAAAAATATTGTATTTTGTAATCGTATTGGAAATATCTTTAAAGAACAAGAATCATAAGAGTTATTCCAACAACTTTTGGAAGGTCCTGCATTAACTTTTGTTGAGGTAAACAGCTATAATAATTAGCTAAAAATCTAAAAAGTGTCGTAACTACACTTGAGTGCAAAAAAATCGACTCGAAAATTATTTTGCGAAAGTACGTCTCCTGTTTCAATCAAAAAAGGTGTAAATTTAAAAATATTTACCGTATTATTAACAACCTCATTATTGAGTTTGAAAAAAGTTTTGATTTTTGGTAAATGGAGTGACATATTACAAATAAATAATGCAACACGTAGAGACGGGGTCAGAATTTGACCCATTGAAATTGACACGCACCCACTTAACACATTTGGTTAACATCGTAAGCATCAATTTCCATAGCAACCCACTAATACATCAGTCAATTAAGTTCGCAACTTCACAACAAATAGATACCACATCCGTCAAAGCAGCTCAAGCAGTAGCATTATTGAGAGAAGACCTGAGCCAGAGAGCCGTGGCAAATCGACTAAATTTAAGCCGATCTGCTGTGTGTCGAGTGTATCGTCGGTACCGTGATACTGGTGATTATGTCCGCCGACAAGGAGGAGGTCGTAAACAAATAACAACAGAGAGAGATGATCGATTTCTTGTATCTAAATCTCTGAGAAATCGATATTTGACTGGTGCTAATCTCAAAGAAGAGCTTAGAGAGGTCCGAGGTGTGGTTACCAGCGTTTGGACAATCAGAAGGAGAATGAAAGCAGCCAACCTGACACCAAAAAGGGCAGCTACTGGTCCCAAGCTAACTGCAGCCCAGAAGCAAAGACGACTAGAGTTTGCTCGCGAACATCTGGATTGGGATAACTATCAATGGAGTCAAGTATTATTCTCCTACGAAAGTAGGATATGCCTACAGGGCAACGACAAGAGGCGGTTCATATGGAGGCGGTTCTTGTATGTTTTGGGCAGGCATTTCCATGGATGGGAAAACTGAGCTGGTTTTCGTGCCTGGTGGAGGACGTGGAGGAGGTTAAACCGGATCATTACATCAGAGATATTTTGAAGGAACATGTGGTTCCATACGCGGGATTTATTTGTAATGCCTTTATTTTATTGCATGATAATGCACGATGTCATACCGCACGAGTCACCACCACCTATCTGACTGAGATCGGTATACCTACAATAAATTGGCCTGCGTTGAGCCCCGACATAAATCCAATAGAGCATGTTTGGAATGAGCTTAAACGAAGGATCCGGGGCAGAAATCATGCACCAAGAAGCATATGGAATTGAGAGCTGCGCTTAATGATGAATGGGAAGCAATGCCTCAAGAATTTATTAGAAAAGTCATAAAAAGTCATCAAAAGGAATAGGAGTGGTAATATCAGATACTAAAAAACAAAAAAAATCATTTTGTAATTGATGATTTCTCTGTTCATTACGTCTTTCTTGGGATATTTCCAATGAATATTTGAGAAACTCTGTTCGTATTGCATATTGTTTTTATAATGCGTCTTCCAAATAATGAAATAGCAGTTTTTGTAAGTTCAATAATAAAGTTACTGTTTGCACATTACATCTTGTTCTTTTCACACTTCTTACAATAAAACAGAAGGTGTAATCTCAAATATCGCTTTTGAGTCGATTGTTTTGCACTCAAGTGTAGATGACATACTAGCAGAGATATTGAACTCAAAAAACGAACATCATATTACTACATTTTTTTAACCTTCCACTACACGCGCGCGTACTGACAGTCCGCGTTTGATTGAAATATAGAATTTCTCGCATACCTCCCACTATTTTCTGTAGCCGCTTTATAAGTCTTCATCCACTCGGCTGCTTTATGTTAGGCTAGACTGAGAAGTAAGTACATTAACTTGTTTCTAAATTATAAGCAAATGCGGATTGAGAGTCCGCGCGCGTGTACTGGTGTAACTGACATAGGTTTTATATTTACTGAAGTATTTAATTAACAAAAGTTAAGATCATATTTTTTCAACTTATATTATTCTAGTTAGTACGTGAGCATATATACTCTCATAATCATGTGTAAATTAATCTTTTTTCTGCATAATCTTACAATCAAAATCAATTCTTTTTATAATCAAATAATCTTTGGAAGGAGGAAGCATTATAAGATGATGAGGAAGAAGAAAATTTCTATAATAATGATAATCGCCAAGAAGATTATGTAGAAGTGATAATTCAGAAAGCGAACAAGATATTTCGGATATTCAAGTGGAAACATCTCCTGTCACAGAAGCATTTTTTATTGGTAAAAACAAATCGTAAGTGGAAAAAAGACTCACCATTAAAGATTGTTAAAACGAGATCTGTAAATGCATTAAAACATTTACCTGGTCCAAAAATTTTAAAATATTGAAAGATCCACTTGAAACCTGGAAACATTTTTTTAATACAGATATGTCAAAAATTATTGTCCAATATACAAATCAGCATATGGCTTCATCATCATCAGTAGCTCGACAACCCTTCCTGGGTCCTAGCTTGTTCTAGGATTTTCCGCCATTCTGTTGTGTTCCTTGCTTTGTTTTTCCAGTTGGTAATCTTAAGAGCGTAGGCGCAAAATTTAGGGCCAATGATTTTTAAATGCATTAATTTTTTTCGAATCCTGAGAAAACTAACAAATATTTTTGAAAATTTTTAACGCAGAATGAATTATTACATTATTACCGAGGGCCGAAAGTCCCTTAGAATAAACAAAAAGATTTTTTGAATGACATATTCGAAATTAAAAATCACTAAATTTTCACCTTTTCATCTTTTTTTCACCCCTGAACTTATTAAAATAAACAATATAGAAGTTTTCAGGGACTTTCGGCCCTCAGTAATAACATATTCTTTCATTCTGCGATTAAATTTTTCAAAAATATGTATTAGTTTTTTCAGGATTCGAAAAAAAAGAAAGCCTTTAAACGGCATTGGCCCAAAATTTTACGCCTACGCCTAGTGTTTTCAGATCTTGTTCCACTTGTTCCATGTATCCAAGTTTGGGTCTTCCCTTTCACCTTCTCCCTACTGGTGTTTGCATCATTAGTATGTTTTGTTGTTTCAGTCTCTAACATCCGTTCAACATGACCCATCCAGCGCAGACGTCCGATTTTTATGAATGTTATGAACTCGGGTTCATTGTATGCTGTGTATAGTTCAAAATTATATCTTCTGCGCCAAATGACATTTTCTTTCACCCCCTTATATATGTATGCAAAGATTTTTCGTTCTAACGTACCTAATAGGTTTTCATCGCTTTTCGACAGTGTCCTGTGGCGAAGATATGGCTTCAACTGCAGCCAATTTTCTCGTGAAAGAGATACATCACCTACGGAAATGTGCGGGCTTCAAGCAATCTTTGGATTGTTGTACTTAGCCAGCGTCTTAAAAACAAGTCGCTTAAATTTACGAGACTTTACCCAAGAAACAGGGGTGGAGTTATTTTGACTTGTGATGTCTCTAAACAGGTTTCAATTTCTTTTACGGCACTTAAGATTCGACAATTCTGAAACTCGCGAAGATCGAAAGAAGCTGGACAAGTTAGTACCTATACGAAAAATATTTGATGCCTTCGTTACCAACTGCAAAGCTGCTTACGGTTCTTTTCTTTTGGTAACAATTGATGAGAAACTGGAAACGTTTCGAGGGCGTTGCTCATTAGGCAATATATTCCAAATAAACGCAATAAATATGGGATTAAAATTTTCGCCCTAGTTGATGCCTAGTATTACTTTACTTCAAAAATCTATGTAGGGCAGCAATCTGATGGCTCTTATGCTGTGCGCAACTCTCCCAATGCGGTAGTCTTGAGATTATGTGAACCCATATATGGATCAGGAAGGAATATTACTACCGATGACTGGTTCACAAGTATGAATCTGCTAGTCGTTATACGCGAAAAAGCTGACGTTAGTTGGTACAATTCGTAAAAACAAAACAGAATTATCAGCTGAGTTTGTCAACCCCCTAAAGTCAAGGTTAGTTAACAGTAGTTTATTTGGCTTTTGATAAAATGCCACTCTTGTGTCATACAAAACCCGAAGTCATAGTGGATAAAGACTAAGGGATGTGAACAGTGTGCCTATAACACTGCAAGAAATATCAGGAGATGGCCAATGGTAGTTTTCTATTCGATGCTAAATAATGCAGGTATTAATGCAAATGTCATTTTTCATTGCAACAATCCCGATAATGTAACCAGAAGATTTTTTACAAAGTTTAGCTAGACAATTGGTTGATAATCACCTTCCTGCTCGTGCTAGTCTTTCTTGTTTGCCATCATCAATGAAATTAAGAATTACAGAAAAGGTTGAATCGAAAGATCCACTACCGCCTCCAGTTGGTAACATTAGCAACAAAGGGGACTATGCAGTTACTGCGACAGAAAAAAGACCGTCCGACCAAGATTTCATGTGTTAAATGTGGAAAATATGTGTTACAACATTGCCCAAATATTTATAATGAATGTATATGTATAACAATGTATAACATGCAAAATAATTAATAAATGTTTGTAATAGTAGTTCACTGTATTTTATCAGAAGAATTTTTTAGTCCGCCTCATACTTGCTATTTCAATATGCGGACTCACAGTCCGCCGCGTGTACTGATGCAACTTTTTGACGCACGTGTACTGAAAGGTTAATTCGACCTACAATACTGGCCAATTACCGGAAGATTGGCTAATGTCTACCTTCGTTTCAATACCAAAACGATTGAAAGCTAAATCTTGTAAAGAATTTCGTACAATTAGCTTGATAAGTCAATGTCCTCAAAATATTTTTCATACGAGGGTCAATTTCTTTGCTCTGCTCCTGACCGAATTATAAACCAATAAATTATTTATCTTCAGGGCGTATCGTAACTTGTTATATATAGACTCACGTTAGAAAATTAC